ATATGAAGAAAAGGCTTCCAAATCCGCGTTTCTTCGGGGGACACGAGGAACTGATTCTTCATAATTAATATGAAGAAAAGGCCTCCAAATCCGCGTTTCTTGGGGGGGACACGAGGAACCGATTCTTCATAATTAATATGAAGAAAAGGCTTGCTCCGGAGGGGTCCCGGCCAATCCCGCCCGCGACCCGGCCAATCCCGCCCGCAACCCGGCCAATTCCGCCCGCGACTTTTGGGCGATTTTACGTGGACCTTGATTTTGCGTTAATAATATGAAGAATTTAATTCTTCATATTATTTATGAATAATCGTGGGCCGGTGGCATCGTACGTATATATATATATATACATATATATACACATAAATATATATTTTTATATATATATATATATGTATATATATATATATGAACAAATATATATCATATATATATATATATATACAGTTATACACTTCTATATATATATATATATATACAAATATATATCATATATGTAGATATATATATACATATATATTTATATATATATGATGTATGTCTGTGCGTATATACATATATATATATATATGTATTTGCATATACATGTCTACTTGCATATATATACAACATATATACACATATATATATGTACATATATATAAATATACATGTACATATATATATATATATGTGTGTCTCGTGTATAGAGAATGTATGCATACATGCAAAGGTGCACATATATATATATATATGTGTACACACATATGTATGTAGATGTCATATCAGGTATGCATGTGTAAACATATATATATATATATACAGATGAGTTTGTGTGACATCCTAATTAATGTCTATATATGCATATATACATACATATATACATATATATGTACACACATTTATGTACATATGCATGCATAAGGACACATGTATACATATGTTTAAATATAGATCGGTACATATATATATATATATACGTACATATATATATATATATATATATCTATAAATATATATATACGTATTATATACATATCTATATATGTGTGTATAAACAGAGAAGCCGCAGGAGCTCCGAGCCACAGCCACGGAAGGCTGGAGCGAGACGGCAGGCGCAGATTAAGCCAGAGCACGTGACCCACTATATAGGCCTTTGTAACAGAACCCTGGTAAGGCAAGGTAATATGGGGTGAGGATGACTAGTTTAAGTGTACATGTTCGGACACCAATTATAGGAACACTATTCTATCAAATGGGCTGGACCCAGCCGTATATAGGGGTCTACACTAGTGTCTCGGGTTGCGGTTCTTAATTCATATATAGCTTAATTAGCTACGTCCCGAGTCAGACTCCTTTGGTTAAGCCCCATGCCCTTTAACTAGTATACACCTACGCACACTCCACAGAAGTCCTCTTAATACGTCCCGAGTCAGACTCCTTTCGTTAAGCCCCATGCCCTTTAACTAGTATACACCTATATATGTACACTCCGCAGAAGTCCTCTTAATTGCAAAGGAGTCAAACACTTACTTGAACCTGTACATGACCTGATCCCAAAAAAGCAAGAAGCATCCAAACCAACTGTAAATATTTTCTCCCGAGGCCCTAGCTCGCCTTTGAAGTCAAGGAGGTACTATAAGCCCAACCCTCTGATCCATGTTTCTTTCTATAGGGTTTTTATATTCTAGGGTTTGTATACTATATAGATATATACAGATGTACAGGGATAGATGGGTTTATAGGGTTTAGATATGTATATATAGGGTTCCTATATATATATATATACATATAGTATATATATATATACATATATATATATATATACATACATATATATATATATATTAGGGTCTTATATAGGGTATATATATATATATGCATGGGCTTGTATATACATACATATATATATATAGAGATATTTGTATCTATATATGGGTTTATTAATTTAAAGACTATGATTCTAATGGTGCCCACGAGAAAGGGTGAACACATATTTGTCATTACACATATATATATATATATACACACGAAATCATCTATTTATTTGGCTACCTTAAACGAAAGCCAGAGCTATCGAACAGCACCGCAGGAGCTCCGAGCCACAGCCACCGAAGGCTGGAGACGGCAGGCTCGAATTAAGCCAGAGCACGTGACCCACTA